AGAGAGAGAGAGAGAGAGAGAGAAAGAGAGAGAGAGAGAGAGAGAGAGAGAGAGAGAGAGAGAGAGAGACGAACGTGACAAATGCATGTAGCTATAAAAAAGAAATGTCGACAATTCCACTCACCACACAGTTCTCGCATTCGGAGCAAACGTCACACACAGTGGAATCCTTGAGGATTTGAGACTGGTAAAACGCTGTCACTTGGTTTCCTGAACAGATAGATAGATATATATATAGATAGATAGATAGATAGATAGAGAAATAGAGAGAGAAATAGAGAGATAGAGAAATAGAGAGATAGAGGGAGATAGATAGATTGGACATTTCATTAACTTTGAGCAGGAATCATTGGTGCGTGGGAATATTTAAAGTTATATCAAAAGATTTATGCGCAATTCAAGATTGTTTATGTACTCGTATAAATCAATCTTACGTCGAAGAGTTTGGATTTTGTCATGTAAGATGCGGGTGTCAAGTGGGGTTTGGGGTTCAATTTGCTGAACTCTAGTTATTCATCACGTAAACCGTCTTTCTTATTTTGAATTGTACGGGTTTTCCAAATCGCTAAACACCAGTAAGATAGAAAACTGCCAAATCTCAGACTTGGCGTTCATCACATGTAGAAAAATGAACAACGTTTCATCGAAGAATCGAACAAGAATGCCCCGAATTTCAGGCTAGAATTACTACTTGAGTTACCAGTGCTTTTATAGAGCACCTCGACTGTTCGGTGTAAGATTGTCATACGTCACTTTTCAAAATAAAAGGCGTATAGTTCTTCCATCTGTTTTGTGTTGAAAAGGGCGTTAATCCCCTAGTCGCCCCTCTCTCACCTGGCTCGTAGTAGTCATAGACTCTGACAGCTGCAGGCTGAGACTTGGCCACTAGTCCTGTTCTCACAGCGGTCAAGTCAACACAGAGTTCTGACCTATTGATCTGAGGAAATGACGTCACAGACAGTGTAATGTAAATTCAAACAAAGATTGTACTTTAAGAACACAAGGAAGAACGGGGAAAAATGGGGGTGGGGGTAAGGGTGGGACTGGTTCTAGTGGCCTTAAATGGTTACGGAACATTATTATAAATAAGATGTTCAAATGTTTCTATACTGAGAGGATAGTCTCATTAACAAAAAGACCAAATACAGTTGAAACAAGAATTCTGCTGGACTGGACAGCCAAGCGCTTTAAAGAGATATCTTGTTCACACTTTGAAATGAGGGATAATATTATAACTTTCATTAAAAACTTAAACTTCTTGTTTCAAGGGAATAGTCCCTACAATCCTTGACTTACATGTGTCTCTACAGTAGTACCCCCAAACCCACACCTCTATAATCGAAGTACACAACTCACCTCATCAAAGTAGAGAATGACTTTCTTGTTCTCGTATTCGACTCTCTTGAGCAGTTTGACTTGGGTAATGCTTTCCCGGTCTGCCTCAAATCCAGATGGAATGCCGATCTCTGCAACAGCCATACCGCTAGCGGAACCCTCACCCATCCAACTGTCAACAGACAGCGCAGTTTAAGATCAAACGACTATAACAGTGACAATGGATACGGCAACGGCAATGACAATGACAATAAAAATGAAAAAGACAATGACAATGACAATGACAATGACATTGGCAAGCCAATGACACTGACATTGACAATTCCAAGCAAATGTCAATGACAATGACAATCTTTAGTCATCTCGAAAGATAAATTTCTCTTGGTGGTTTACTATGGGAATGATGTTACAAAGTTCGTGTGCACATATGTGCACACATAAAAAGAAGTGACACCGCACCGAAACGCCTCAGATTAGACTAAATAAAATAATATAGGTGGGTACAAAAAGATACAAGATATGGTCAGCTAAGGTAAAGTGAGGATATGATAACCCCAGGTAAGAAGAAAGTAAGTTTTTTTTAAAGATAACCAGAGATAAGATGAGATAAGTAAACTAAACTAACGTAACAACAAATAGGCTTCGGTAAGAAGACATATGACAACAATTTACCCTAAGTTATAATAAGCTAAGGTAAGACGAAGTTGTTAGGTAAGTTAACCCTTGGCAAGATCATATTACTGAAGACAATAAGTCCAGGTAAGACATGATAAATGAAATAAGGTAAGATGAGATTAGATGAATTAAAGAAAGAGATGCAGATGGCACAAGGCACGACACGGTAACGTAATGCGTTGTAAGACGGGATGAAAAGATATAAAGTAATATAGACTCTCTCTATCCCTATCTCTGTCTCGGCTGGCTGCCTCATCTTTCTCTCTATAACTCTCTCTATCTCTCTCTGTATTTTTTTTCAATTTCCTTTTTCTAACCAGCTTCTTTAACCTCTTTCTCGGTTTCATGCACATGAAATAGACAAACATATAATGCGAGAGCGAGAGAGAGAGCGAGAGAGAGAGAGAGAGCGAGAGAGAGAGAGAGAGAGAGAGAGAGAGAGAGAGAGAGAGAGAGAGAGAGAAAAGGAGGGTAAAGATGATGGATAATAAAAAGAAAAATTCAAACGAATAAGACGTGATATAACGTTTAGTTTTTGTAAGAGTTTTACAGCACTTGCAACACAATAAGGTCAAATATAAGTACCGAAGATTGGAGGTGTTACAAGAGTAACACACTAAAAAGAAGGAGGAGAGATAAGGACGGTAAACGTTTTCAAGGAAAGAAGGAGCAAACCACATCAGAGCACCCTCTGAAAGAACGTGACACAGAAAAGGAGATTACAGGTTTAAAGAAGACACACACATGAACAACCCCACCTACACCCTAGTTACCGAGTGCAGACCAAAATGGTCAGCTGGTTCAGTGTATCCTTTTCCAGGTGCAAAGAGAGGTGAAAGGTCGTCTCTTCCACCTCAGATGGAACATTGAAGAAGACAGCCACCTACAGAAATCGGCAGTTAAACGGATTAGAACTGGATTTCCAATACAGTAACCAACATGATGATACTGAATAGAAGCATTCAAAACCGAAGCAATAACCTGAAGAAAACCCAGTAACTGAGTAAATAGAAACTTGCCTCTGAAACTGACTTTACATTGGGAATTCAATATTTTAACAAGTGAGCTGATTTTACTTTGGGTAACCAACAAATTAAACAGCATAGAGACTTTACGTTAGATGCCGACAATGTCAAACAGTAAGCGGACTTTATATTGGAAAACACATTTTTTAAAGTAGTTAACAGAATTTATTTCCGGATTACTTTTACCTGTTTTCCCCCCGCCCAAAACACTTTTTTTCCCCAAAACGAACTGCATGATCCCCAAAGATTGTACGTAAAAAGATAGTTCACTCGGCCAAAAAAATATCCGTGTAAGTCCGCGTATAGGCTCACATGTCGCTGCAGTCTTTGTTTTGAAGCTCTCTTTCCTTACTCCAGAAGAAGAATAGGAACAGCACCCCCCCCCCCCTTGTGCATCAGCTGTTCAGGTTCGCTCGGTGCGGAGTTTTGGGTTTATTTTATTATAAAATTAAAGACCCGTCTCGCCTTTTCGTTCTAAAGCCAAATTAAACGAACAAAGAAAACAGTCGCCCCTTCCACCTAAAGAGGATTTTTTTCAGAATAACCACTTAAAAATGTGTTATTCCGAAATTTTAATTATAATTTGTACAAAAACGTGTTAGTTTCACTTTGATTTTTTTCCACACAAGTAGGGTAACTCTATTCGCAAAGCAGGCGCTTTTTCGAAGAGGGCGCCACCGGATTTTGAGGACACTTTTTCAAATGGTTCAAAGACAGGAGTGAACCATCTTGTAATACAGAATCTTTGATGAGCCTTCACTAATATCTTTTCTTCAAACTGATTCTGCACTGAACTGCTACAATGACTTTATCTTCTGGAAACTGACGGTGTACAGCCTGGTCAATTCCAGAACAAACAAACTATAGGTCTATTCTGATTCATTTTTCCCTGACGTAAACTGGCAAAACACTAACTTAATCATTTCATGACATAACCTGATTGTACAATGTCTCAATTATAGCAATGTGTGTGTGTGTGTGTGTGTGTGTGTGTG